CAGGAATTCTGTTTAATTAATTTTTGCTAGCACTATCGATGATGTCTTGCCTGCCATGTAGAAATTATGCCATTATTTTCCCCACAAATTAGACCACTACGTTCTGATTGTATTCTGTAATGTCAGTGTGTCAGTTATGTGTCAATGGCAGGGAGTATATAGATATTTAATAAAAACTGTTTCACAGAGTGCTGAATCTAGGTTTAATTTCTCAAATGGATTTAAAACAGTCACATAGAAAGTCTTCATTATCTCACCCTTCTTCATTTTATTATTTTTCAGTATTGTGAGAAATTGTCTGTTAAGTCTCTTTGCTTTAGACTATGAAATCTTTGTGAAGGGAAATCTTTGTGCTGTGTAGTGAATTAAATAGGACTCTCTTTTATCTGGGCCATAGATACGATAAGATAAATAGCAAGAACTATTAAATAAACTACATTGGAACTGCCAAGAAGCAAATCAAAGCAGTTGAAAAACCAGTATTTTCACTATATTTCATTAGTTAAATTGCATTATAGCTCTCTACTGATGTTTTACTTTAGCTAAAGCCTCTGTCCGTGAACTCTTGCCGCAGCCGCAAGGACGGGAGCCTGAGCGAGCTCTGTGCCTCATCACTCGTCCCTTGATTTACACTCAAATGTGGCAAGTCTTGCTCCGGCACAGAGCGCCAAGAAGCCCCTTGACAGAGCGCAGGCGCTGAGCCTGGCTGGGGGCTCAGTGCAGGAACAGCTCCCCGTTCAGATGTGACAGAAAGCAGCACGTTTCCGTGCTTTCCAGCACTTACATCGTGGCCCCTCTTTCTACGCTCATGTATCTATATTGTATGATTTATTTTAGGGATAAAGGACTGCACACTCAGGCTTTCTGGATCGGTTTGTTCCTCTTAAATCCTGATGAAGGATTTGCCTGGATTGATGGTTCCCCTGTGAGTACTTATTTGCTGGATATAAATTGACTTCCGGGCCTTCGAAATATATAGATTTTCATCTTTTTATGTCTTTTTTCCAATGTCTTTAAACCTTCGGCACGTGCATGGCAGCCCTTTATCCATCAGCTGAGTGTCTGCAGTGCTCAGTGATGGCACTGTCTTAACACACTAATGGAAGTACCATGTCATATCCCATCTTCCACGGTCTGTGCTCTTAGGTCTTCGCAGCAGCCCAGACCGGGCACTGCTGTGTGCCAGTACAAAGAGGTCAGGTTGCCATCTTTCACAACGGGAGATAAACACAACTCCCTCTGCCCATCGGTTTTCCCTCGATCAGACACATGCTTTTCTGTACCATGTAAACTTTACACCTTCTCCAGAGAGCGATGGGGAAAGCGAGCTGATCAGCACGACTTCCACAGCCCTCTCAGACCTATCTGAACTCCTACTGATCCCTTAAACAAGGTACTTGAGATGACAAGACCCTGAACTGGTGTTATGATGGCAATCTCTATTACTTCCACTCAGCTCGAATCACATAGTAATTGAGATGTATTTCCAACACAGGTAATTTATGACAACTGGGATGAAGATGAACCGAACAACTATGAAGAACTTGAACACTGTGTTATGTTTAATAGATCACCCCAAATGCGCTGGAATGACCTGCGCTGTGAACGTTTACTTAATTGGATTTGTGAAACAAAGAAAGGTATGATTACTTCCCCATTTAACTGCAGCGATAAACTCATGTTCAAAAACAAATTGTATGGATTTAAGCAAATTGAAAAGAAGAAAGATACTGGGAATTGTTCATTTTAAAACCGGTTGCAGTTAACACAACACAACGCAAGAGGAATGAATCAAGATATTTCAGTTGTACTCAGATGCAGGAAGCTGAAGATGTCCCTATTATTTTATCTCTGGCTTTATCTCTTTCTGCCATGGGTTGAATAAATTTGCAAGGCAAAGGTACTTATCCCCTCTCCTTTTATGTCCTCCCTGTCTTTCTCTCTTCTTCAGGCTTACCCAGGAGAGCCAAAGATGCAGGACACTAGGGTTCCCTGTGCAAAAGAGAAAAAGTCCTTTGCTTCCCACTGTGAAATGAAAAATAGGAACCAAAGAGAGGGATCCATTGCTATAGGACCAGAGGTAGTGGTTCTGGCAAGAGGAGTTCCTGCTGTAGAACCTGGAACTCTGAGACAAAGACATCAAAAGCCTTGAAGGACTCCTGCACCCACCAGCTTTGCCTGGGAAGCAGGGCCCTAACGCCAGGCCTCCCGCACCCGGTGCCAGGGCACGAAACGGGCCTGACGGCCATGCGTTGGGGTGCCTGCCAGCGGGAAACTGGGGCTTCGCGGGCTGAGGACCCCAAGTGACAGCCGATAATGCAAGAATTTGCTTTGCTTACTTGGCCTTACTTTTACACCCCTGCTTCCTGGTTGTAAACTGAATACTTTTATGCATCTCCATGGAGCCGGAGCTTCTTAAACGCTTCTTGAAATGAAAAGAAAGTTGGATGCACACAGGGAATTAGGAGGAGGCACAATAGTGAGGGGAAGGGAGAAGCAGTTATATCAAAAGCACTGAGTATGTCTAATATTTGATGACTCTGCCAACAAAACTGTTACCCTTAAACAGAGACTAAGGCATCATGCTACCATTGAAAAATTGCTTAACCAAAAAGGAAGAATCACTGTTCCCTGGTGGGTAGATTAGTCATACGAAGGCACCGTGGGAACACTGACTGCCGTATGCCAGCTCGAAGCAGTACAGCCTGTGCAACCCTTCCCGGCGTGCTGAGCACGCTGCTTGGTACAGACGTGGCTCTCTGCTCTTGAGATTACTCAGGAGCACTTCAGAAACCATGACATAAATCTGACCAGATTAGCTTGATTCTAGATGGTCTTTTCAAAGTAAAAAAAAAATAAAAAAAATTAAAATAATTAGATCTTGTTATTGTGATTCTAGATTAGGTTATGATCACCGTGAGAGGAGAGATGGTCAGCTGTTAATTCCCTCATATTCACTTAAGACACTCCATTTTTCTGAAGTGCAAGGAATGTTATAGTTATGTTAGGATTTAAAAAAAAAATAAAAATGAGATGAAGTATGCAAATTAATCATGAAGATATTTGACTATTTTTAGTTCTGTTCTGCATTAACTGCTTAAGAAGAAAATATTTAAAAGCTCCCAACAGAAAAATTTAAATTGCTTTTTCACTTCTTTGCTTCTCTCTCATCTAAACTGTTTCTGTAATTTCTTTAATAATGTGTTCCACTCCATCAAACCACACAAGAAATGGAGAAAGCTAATAACAGCATTAGTAGTCTTTGTGAAGAACAAAATAACAGGCATCCAAATGAAAGCAGAGCTACCTTTGAGGAGCTATAGCTGGCTCAGGGAATAATGACAAGTTAATCGCTTCCTCCTGGCCCATCCTGTAATCAGAAACTGGGCTTTCGTATCTACTGGGTCTCCAGGTACTTCTTGGCTCTCCCCAGGACTCTCTTAAAGACAGACTCTCCTAGCGGAAGCCCAGACATCAAGATAGGAGGAATGCATCTAGATACTGGAAACGATGTGTGGTGTTAACAAAACACCAGCATTAAGTTTTCAGCACTTGTGAATAGTTTACTATTATGCAGGTAAGCTTGAGAACTGGATATATTGGCTGGATTATGTTGCTTGGCTCTAGTCCCATGAATGTAAAAAATAATTAATAATAGCATGCCAGGTAAAAATACTAAACAAATTTTTAAACTGATGTACGTTTCATCTACAAAGTAGATGCACATTCTGGATTGTTTAATACAGTGCTTTTGGAGATATGTATTTTCACCAGATAAATGTTTCTAAATTATAGCTATTTTTTAATTTAATCCAGTGGTATGTGCTCTAAAATCTTGAAAATACATTAGATAATACTTCCACTTTTTTTCTCTATTATACAAAGCATTTGCAGCTACATAAAGAAAATATCTCTTGGTTTTTGGAGGGGTTTTTTTGGTTTGTTTTTTTTTTTTGTATTTTGAATGTTGCTCATGATGATCTTTTATTCTACAGGTACATTGCTGAAACCTGAACCACACTACAAGCTTGGTAGGATTTTTTCCTCTTTCAAACAAATATGTACTGTAGAGCTTTCAGACTTTGTAGAGACCAGATATGAATGTAATATATACGCTTCTTTATCTTTCAGAATATCAATCAACTGATGATGGATGGATTATATATGAAGATAAGCAGTACTATTTCAGCAAAGAACGTGTCCATATGGAAGAAGCACGGAGAATTTGTCAGAAGAACTTTGCAGATCTTGTTGTCATTGAGAATGAAAGCAAAAGACAATTTCTATGGAAATACGTAAGCACTGATTCTATTAATTATAACTGAATTCTGAAGCAGAGGGGCTGATAAAATAAAGAAAACAGTCTAGATATTTAGCAAGGCTAGAGTTCTGAGCTATTGTCCTACATTACTTATATGACAATATATTTGTTCAAGACTTGTAAAGAAATTACTATTGCTTTTATTAGGCAGAGGAAAAAAGTATGCAAATGTTAAAGGCTCAGCAAAGGATACTTCAGGCCCAGGTTGCTTATCTCTTCTAAGATATGTAGTGTTCAACACAGTGATTATTGCTTTCCTATCCAGTGGGTTCCTCACTCCAGTATGTTCCCTGTATCCCTGTTGACTGCTTGAAACCCTGGTCTGAACCTACAATGTTCTTGCCTGAGGCTCAAAAAAAAAGAAATAGCAAGAAAAAAAAAATCACAGGCATGGTTAATGGGCTTCTAGATTTTTGCCTGGTGTTGAGGAACTGCAGTCCTCAAGTCTTAATCACTTTTGTTTTAGATTTACACAAAACTCGGAGTGGAATCATATTTCATTGCCTTAGTTGTCAGCTTTGATCAGAAACTCAGGTAAGTAAAGGAAAACTGGTAATAGACAACAAATGATGGTAATTTCATCTCGCTCTGTGGGAATATTTGTGTGTGCTTTCATTTTACCAGTTAGTAACTGTTGTGCAGCTGACCTCTGGATATCTTTCAGGAGAAGTCTCAGATCAGATCAGAAGTTCTGTATTTAAACAGAGCAATGTGTTTTCCTTCCAAATCCGGGAGAGCAAAACCAATGGAAGCTCATGGTGGCTAAGGTTCATTTCACTTAATGTCTCACACTGAGAGAACAGAGTTAAACACCCAAGCACCCCTTCATAGGTAGTGAAGAGAAGCAGCTGATTTTAGGATGTTATTCACCTGATCCATTTTAGACAACAGTCTTAGGATGAGATTAAGTCTGACCCGATCTCCAATGGCTACAGAGAAAGCCCAGGAGGTTTTGCTGAAATGTGGATGTAAATGTTTACTCAGACGAATCCCAGTGGTTCATTATGTGAGCTGGAAGCAAGAAATGTGAGCAACACCTGACCGAACAGCTTTCTGAAATTCCTGGTAGGGAACCTATTTTAGAAAGCTGTTTGTAGAAGGCTTCCAGGAGGACACCTTTCTTGGATGACAGGCAAGTCCATCCACTGGTAAGATTCTGGGGTTTCAGTCTTGTCCAGCTCGCAAGAAGCCTTCCCTTTGGGTGTGACGTTGTTTGTCCAACCTATGGCAAAATGGGGCACTGATGGGACTTGAATGTCAGAGTACTAAAGAAATGAGAAGCAGCAGTAATGCTGCTGATATATCCTCTCCAGTATATAGAGAGCCTTTGTCCTCTGGTCACTGTTAATACTTTGCTTAGCCCTTTAGCTAAACAGATATAACGAAATGACTGTTGGAGATGTCTGCTCAGCAGCCACTGTCCCCTTGTTTCCTTCAGCTGGCTGGATGAGACCCCAGTGAACTATGTTGCCTGGGCTCCAAATGAACCCAACTTTGCAAATAATGATGAAAACTGTGTGATAATGTCAAAAGATTTTGGTGAGTACAGTAGCAACAAGAAATATTTGGTTGAAAATTTAGCATCAAAAGCTAAAATGTTTGCTGCTGCCCTATAAATAGGCAGTTGCACGATAACGACAGTTCTTCATAACAAGTATGCTGAGGCTTAAAACGATCCCATCACTTTTAGGAGACAAATATACCGCAGCAGAAGGAGGGGTGTATTAGGGCAAACAGTGTACGTGTCAACTGTTTCATCTGCCTCTGGAAGGTTTCATTGGTGCTTTATGAATACTGTCTGGAGATGCCTGCTGTAATGGTGGTACGAGAGTTTCAGACAGTGATTCTCTGTATTTCATTTATTTACAGGCTTTTGGAAAGATATAAACTGTGCTGTGAAAAATGGCTTCATCTGTGAAAGGCACAATTCAAATTACTCAGGATTTGCTCCTACTGTACTTCCACCTCTGGGAGGATGTCCTGAAACTTGGCTTTTGTTTAACAATAAGGTGCAGTAATAAATCTCAGCCATATTTAGCAGATATGCTATAGGTAGAGAAAACAACTATCCCTTTTGTCTATATAAATTATCTCACTTTATACACCAGTTTATTAAGTGGTATTCTAATCAGCAGTGTAGTCAATGTTCACGTTGCCAAGTCCGTATCTGAATCTTAAAGTAAGGTGAGTTTGAATGTTTTCAGTTATAATTTTTGTAAAGCCCCACATGCCTCTAGTTATAGCTACTTTTTCAGTTTCTAAAATCTTCTGTTTATATTAGACATACTTACTGTATGGAAATACTGTTCCATTACCCTTATCTGTAAGTGTAAGCCCCTTTTTCTGAGTAACGCTGAGATGAAAAAATGAAAGGTCACACTTCTTCTTGTAATCAATTATCACAACAACTCATCTTAACACAAACAGCAATAAATAAATATCCCCATGGGATACTAATACGCGGTACAAAAGAGCACTTCTTCCTGTCGATGATCTGCTCATGCTGACTGCTCACACAGGTTCAGGCTTTAGCACTAAGTTTGTGGTATATAATTGGAAGAACTCGACCTGAGAGTTGCCTGCCCCAAATTATGTTCCCAATCAGGAAAAAAAAAACCAAAAAAAACAGTGACCCGAAATCTCTACCTGTGCACCTTGGATATCTACTTAATTCCACAACAGCTTTTGGAGGTCGCCTGCTATTGCCCAGCACTAGCCTTGGATAGCCCTCAGTTTTGTAAGTGCTGCACATGCATCGCTGTGATTAGTTGGGTCTCCTTGCTGGCTGCAAGTATTTGCATTTCAGCAGATCCCCCATCTGCTGCTCTTTACATGCAGGGACTAGAATGGAGTTAATCAAAACCAACAGTTTTAATACTCTTTGACACCTGAAATTTTGTCTAATCCTTTACTCTCCCCACAGTGTTATAAAATATTTGGATCCAGAGGAGCAGAGAGACTGACTTGGCACTCTGCAAGAAGTGCTTGTATAGAATTAGGGGGAAATTTGGCCTCTATACACAATGAGCAAGTGCAAGGTATGACATCTGAACCTCTTGGCGCTAAGTACGCAGCCAGCACGTTTAACTGTATAGGCTAAACTAGCCTCCAGATCTAAACAGGATAACCTATGAAGGAAGACCTGGAGCTGCTTGATCCAGAGGGAAGACTGGAGTGAGATAGTATGACACTTCCCATCTCTTGGCCAAAGTGTCATGTGGAGGGAACAGAATAATCTGTTCTTCATGGCCTTGGAAGATGGGATAAATAGTAATAGTTCATAGTAATGAAATGCCCACAGATATTCAAGTCAGAAAGTAAACAAACATCCATCAGAAATGACGTAAGTGCAGCTGATGTTGCCTTGGGGAAAACTGATTAACCCTTTTGAAGTCTATTCTAGCTCTAAAGTCTATAATGTTTCCATGAAGTCACTATCATTTTTATTTAAAAAACCTTTCTTTTTGTTTTTTTTTCTTAATGAAATCAAACTGCTTCAATTAAATAACCCGTTGTATTTTTTCTCTTTTACCATTAACTCATAGTCTAACAATACTGTACGTGACATTTGTAATATTTTTAAAAGCTGATTGGTTGTTTTATTTGGAAGTTGGTTTACACTGAATTTGAAGAAAACTCCTCAGCTACTCTCTTTCTCTGATCTTTCTTTTTTTTAATAGCCTTCTTCACCTTTCACCTAAGGGATGTCGCCAGTGAAACATGGATTGGACTGAATGACATTAACAGTGAGGGTACATATCTTTGGACAGATGGAAGCTTTTTTGACTATGCAAAGTGGGCAAGACAATTCCCAATTAGAGATAAATTCGTAAAAGTTGACTGGAAGTATATTACAATACAGGTAAATGGAAAAAAAAAATCAGAAAATGCATAACTTAGATAACATACTCAAGGTTAGCCTAACCAGCTTGAGTTGTCTCTCAGCTAGGATCCTACATTTCAATGGTTTAAAGCAGAAGGCAACTGAATAATATTTCAGAGATCAAGTTTTTAAAGCTGTAACCAGAGATTAATAGGCCTGCTTAGAGTCTATACTTATTATCATTCCTTTGCAGAAGTACAGAGCTGCAGAAAAGTAGTGCTGTATTATAATTACTGCTAGAATTAATTAGAATTATCAGATTTTACTGAAAATATTCAGCATTACCAGATGGGATTTTTACTTTGTTTTATTGTTTCTCCTTGTACAGCATGAATCCAAATGAAAGCTCAACAAATTTGGTACAAATTTCCATAAACTACATAGTAAAAATAGCTTTGGTGCACTCCAAGAAATTTTAATAAACTGAGAAAAGTTCTTACAGTAATCTGCCAAGGGAAATACTTTTGCTTAAGATATATAAAAGAATAAATATATTTTCCAAGAAACAATAAATGAAAATAAGAGCCAAAAAATCAGAAAAGAAAGCTATTAACTTTGTCTCCTCAAACCTATTTCTATTATTTTGCCAGACATTTTGCACTTCATCAGCTATGATTTTCTTTTTTAATTTTTCCCTAGACCGACTGTATTGCAATGACGACAAGATCTGCAGATGAAGCAGGGTACTGGGAAAACACTGACTGCCAGCATAACAAAAGCTATATTTGCCAGATGGACAGCAGTAAGTTTTAATTTTCACCTTCTTTGTTGGAAGACATTTACTGAACGGTCCAACCGTACGAGTGCTCCGTCGTAACTGCCCAGCTGTGCCTTGAGGCAGCCGGGGCGAGGGAAGCAGGGCTACTTTCCCAGCTCGGGAATTCCAGGCACAAAACCCGCTCTGGGATAAGGATTATTAAAAAGTTTTTGCTCTACAGCCTCTCCCCTGCCAGCACTCGCAGGGGCTGACTTCACCTACCCTGCGGACGTAAATCACTTAAATCAGTTCCCTGAACATGGCGAGGAGACACTTTGAAAGCAGGATTCAACTGCCTCATCCTCAGGCAAATGCCCAAAACAGGTTAGAAGAGCTGTGCCTTCAAAATGCTTTTTTTCCTCCATTGACAGAAAAGTTTAGCCATCTGTGCTTTATCCAGCTCGCACAGACATAGGTGTCTGAATCAGGTAATTTTGCAAATGCAGATACAAAGCATAAAGACAAATCCATCAGTAACCTCCACCATAGGTATCTTAGCTAGTTAGACAATGCACTAAAAGCTTCTTCCCCACGCTCACCCCCAGATCTACCCCCC